TGGAAATGGAAACAGGCATTTCAGTTGCTTTTGGTGGTGGCAAACTTCAGGATAGGGGTGCCGCGCCCTAGACTATTGAGAATACACAACCTAGAGATACCTCCGATGATTTGAAAGTCTACTAAGTTCACTGCTTCACTCATGCGATCAACCTGCTGAAATTACCTAACGCGTGTCCTCGGACCGCTATCTTCTACGCACAGAGGGCTAAGGCTGCACATTCCTGCCACCTGGTTTACATGCTCACGCATAGCCACGACTCATGGATCTGCCCCATTAGGGCGCTACGCATCCAGGTTGGGGCGCCACACCTGGGTCACAGGCAATGAGAGTATGTGCTCTCAACACCGTCTACTCCGATGAGCAAGCCTCGCAGATAGCAGGGACCCGGGTCCGACAGCCGTGAGGTCAGATGCTGGGCGAGCACTCATCGACATGGGACACAAGTATATATGTAAGATGGCCCTCCTTGGACTTCAGTCTCCGGGTCTTTCAAAAATTCCCCGACGGCCGATAGTGCTAAACTTGGGGCGTGTGTGAGGAGGCCTCGGCAAGCTAGAATACACAGTGACACACTGCGCATTCTGCCAGGCCCCAAATCCAGCGTCTCTTGCCCTTGGAGATGGCTCGAGCGAGACTTGTGATCCTCAAGATTCTTCACACACACAGTGCGCTCCATGTGCCTCACACTGGGTCCCCTACACGTGACAGATTGAGCTCACTGAGTAGGTTGAAGTGTCACACAAGTAAGCAAGTTTTGCGATCAGCCACCACTTAGTGCATCTAGCGTATATATCACATGTGTCGTACACATCATGTAGGAATCTAACAGTGAGCGATATGTCACGAAAAAGCCAGGAGATCTGTCTGTGAGTGGCTTCCACACGCCAGGTATCTCTCAAGAGCGCCGAGGCCGCGCCAGGTATAGGGCACAGGCTTTAAGTAACAAGCCATTCTCATGTCACCAAGCTTGTGAGTGTTGCCTTCGACCGTGTCCATATCCCTACACAACAGCACTCGAGGCAGGACCTCAGAGTACGCTGCCAATTCCAGAATACCATATTAGAGATATAAGGGCATTATAGCATATATAAGATAATTAATAGTGGAACCCAGTTGATAATATGATATATATTATTAATTACCACAACATAGCCGGGCATGGTGGCGCATGCCTGTAGTCCCAGCTACCCGGGAGGCTGAGGCAGAAGGATCACTCGAGCCCAGGAGTTTGAGGTTGCTGTGAGCTAGGCTGACGCCACAGCACTCACTCTAGCCTGGGCAACAAAGCGAGACTCTGTCTCAAAAAAAAAAAAAAAAAAAAAATCTAGGACGAGTGCTTCGGTCTAATGCCCTGATCTTCTTGTCACTTGGCGCCGCGGCCGCTGC